TCTGCATGATGCTCACTTAAGCTCCAGAGCTCTCCTTTGAAGCATCCATTCCGTTTAGAGTCAAAGCATGACTGCTCAGGTTCCGACGGACGAGTTCGAGTCGGAGAGCTCTCGGTACCTCTTTGCAGGGCATTGGAGACAATAGGGATTAACTAGTGACATAATTCTTATCGGGAAAAAATGGCGGCCAGATATTCTAGAATCCTCTAGAGAGAACCTGAAGTGAAGTACTTCCCGCTTGATGCGTTCAAGGTGCTGGTTGATGGAGGAAGGATTAGCCATGTCGGACAGCAGTTGAAGAGATTATGATGCTGGGGGATTGCATGTGGCTCTTGATTCTTGATGGGCCTCGGTGACAAGACATATCACTTTGTGACTCTAAATATGACTGCCCAGGGAGCCCAGGAGTCGCTAGTGACGTAGTGTAATTTGATAACATTTGCGGTAAGTTAGTTGCAAGCCCTGAACCCCCCAAATGCTTGGCCCAAAGCCCCTCCTTACAGCCGCCAGGTTCCACAGGCAGGCGCGGCAGACAGTCGTTTTCGCACGTGCAGGGCATAAAAGCTTTCGCCTTTTGCCTGATATCCAGTTTTCATTTGGAGTTTGCCATTGAAATACTTAGCCACCTGCTACAGTGGCTTGAAGACTGTGTTGTGATAGTAGTCGTCAACGTGCCAGAAGATTCATGTAGCAGCACCCTCTATCCAGGCAGTCTTCGGGCTATGCGAGGACTGTCTCGTTGTTGGAGATGCATACAGGGCTGAAGAAGCTGACGAATCAAAGTGACGTGCAAAAAATGTAAGGGATCAAGATCCTAGCGCTTTGGGAGGCATGAGCAGGACCTCTCGTTTGTGATAACCATGTGAGCGCTCATTTGGGTAGCAATCTTTTGTGAAGTGATGGTGCTGGTGGGACCAGCACAATCTGTGATCTGTCTTTTGGCTCCAGCTATGACGCAGAAGAAGCCACAGCGCTAGCAGCAGAACGCCAATTCTTTCTGAACCCCCTAGCAGCTAAGCAGCCATTGGTAGCAAAGACTAGTGAGTAACCAAGCCCACCGATCCACGGCATGATGCACCCCTAGCAGCTAGCCATTGTATCAGTAAGCATCATGCCCATGCTCAACAAACCGCGAGCCTCGACGCTTTCGTCGCAGGTCTCCTGCAAGTTCACCCAGACAGCGTATTGAGACACAGAATGTTCCTGCCTTGTTGGGAGATTTTAAGTTTGAGGCACATTTCGAATCGGCATTTGGTCCGCATGATTTTCGATGCATTGGGGTGTATGGATAGTGCGTCTGATCATTGTCGCCAAGTCTACTCCCTCTTACTTTTCATTGTTGTCATTCCGCTTCTGCCCACTGAGCGTTGGAAGCTCGCGACATGGATTGAAGCCGGTTGTCTTAAAGATGACCTAAGCTTAGGCCTGAAGGGAAAGCAGCATATCCCGAAACCTGAAGCCGGTGAGTCTAGAATCCAGTCCGAATCCTCCTTGAAATGCAGGGTGAGGTGGAGTCCAAGGCAAGAGGCTGACACAGGGCTTAAAGTCCCATGCTCGCATGTGCAGAAATAGCCTCCACATGAAGGTGGCCTATATCACGAGACCTCAGTCAGGCCTTCTGTAAACTTCAACTTTCCGACGCAGAGCCTTTTGGGGGGGTTCTAGTCATCTTTTCCAAGAGACAATTTCAAACCCCGAAAAGGAACTACACTAGAGGGTTCAGAAGTTCAGGTAATTATCAGCACCCATCCAGCAGCCTGTCCTTGAAGAGGCCGCTGTTGAGGAGCATGCGTAGATCGAGGCGAGCCAGAACATGCAAGAGGAGTTTTGGATTTTCGGGTTCCTATCTACGGGACCCTTGCGTTGGACGTCGCCGCATTCGGTGTATTCATTTTGGGCACCCCTCATGTCTGGAACCAGCCATATATGTCTGTCGAGTAATCCATGCGGGCCCCTCTGTGGAGGGACAGTAACGGGTGTCTTAGCCAGCTTCGCACGAGGATTTCCAAATTGCCATGGATTCACCATCTCCAGTGCGATCACCCTGATTATGGTATTTTTTATTGCTAAATTCATTTTCTTCGCGATCTCTGCGATCATCGCCGTCAGCGCCACATTCTTGCTATTCTGCTAGGGCCACTGTTCCTCCTTCTGACGGTGAGTGCTTTGTCAGGCTATGATACCTGTTGTAGCACGAACCCGCATAGGTTTGTGTTTGCCCCCAGGGATGACCCCAGAATATGATCCACCCCAAAGGTCCCACTCTCAGGATTTAGGAGCCCAATGTAGCTAAACTGTATAGTCTTAGCCTGAGTATCTCAAGAATGTCCCGACCCTCATCAGGACCCCGGAATGGAACCTTGGGTTGATGCCAAGAGTCCTGCATGACTCTAGGATACTAGTCTACCCTTAGGGTCATGCAGGAGTTTTAGGGTCCCTATATGATTTTGCCGGAGGCGGTAGCGCCAAAGGATGATCAACTTCTTCGGATGGAATGGAGGCCTTCCTCCACAGAGGGTTTTCGTCTTTAGGGTGGTCTGGCCAGCTTCCAGCAGTGTTAGAAGGTGAATTCCCTGATTTGGCCAAATGCCGGGATCCTGTTCCTAAGACTCCTAGAGGGAGACCTGCGATTTTCAGAAACCTTCTAACCGTGTTGGGGAGGGGTTGTTTATGCTTTGACTGATGCGTGGAAATCCTGTCTTCCGTCACCGTGTACCCTCGGTTCCCTTGCATCCTCACCACTGCTACGCCCGACAACGTTATTCCCATGGTTAGGGGTAGGCTCTGAGAGTTTCGCAAAAGCATGGGCCATCGTTTTCCGGCCAAACAGGATCGCGCGCACACGCTCAACTATGACCTTCAAGTAAACAACAAACCTCGGAAACCTACAATGTTGATCTTGGGGATGCCGTCAGCCCTGTAGACGTAGCACTACAAAACCTTCTACCCTCCAAATTGGGACCCGCCACGTTGTGAAGCCGCGAACCACTTCTTGCAGAACCCTGACGTAGCCTTACAGAGCCTTCTCTATAGTCATACCGGTCGACAGCTCAAGAGGGATCCCCAGTTTGAGAAGCCTATTCACCAAATCCTACACCTACCAGGACCCATAATTTTGAGCAAGCCTTCAATGTGAGCTGCCGTGACCTCGTCGTATCTCCATCCCCACAGGGACAGCGACACCTTCAAAAGTCAGGTGGGCCAGGATTCGGATTTTGGGTTCAGGGCTTCAAGTTTGGGTTTTAGGGTCCCGTTAATTTATGATATAATCGATTTAACATGCCTTGTGGATTTCGCTCTTAGGTAGTTTGGTTCTATGAGCCCATTCCTTCATTCTCTGCACGTAATTTTCCCCGTCCACCAATGCTTCTCAGAAATTCCTTGTTGCGGGATGCGCATGAGTTAGATATGGATTGGCAGGGATTGTGGCAGGTCTATCGGGACTATAGCAGAGCTTCTCAGAGATACTCAGTGTGGTGTTTGTTGGTCTCTGCGCGAGTGCCGCAAGTGTATTCTTTGGACATCAAAAAGAATCAGAAGATGCCTGATTCATGAGAACCCACCAAGTCTTTTGGAGAGGGATTGGGCACACCCGATCCTTCCAAATCACCAGCGTACATGCGCAGACGTACACCCGCAATATTTCCCGTTAAGGTTCAGATCTTGAGGCACTAGGTTATGCGGATGCAGGGCTTGAAAGCTTCAACAAAGACTGAAAGATCTTGTTGTAACATGGAAACTGAATCATTGGTAATGATGTTCCCTGAATCTCAGCACGTTGTTTGCTTTCCATACTTCAGCTACATTTTGGGCCGAAATTTGGACAGGTAACCGTTTGGGCGAAGTAGGCTCGAAACACATTGCACCGCCCAAGCCACGGCTGTGACCTAAAACGTATATCTAACAAAATGCTTCTGTGTTTGAGTCATAGCAGTTTGGATCCACAACCAACCCCCCAGAAAGGAACTACGTTCTGGGTTCCAGGCATGTGGACCTCACAGTCCCTACGTTTTCCTAACGGTACGGATCAAATCTGAACTGAGCTCTTCATAGCCTGCGCTGCGAGGCCCCCGAGCCCCAACGATGCTGAGGCGAGAGCCTCTGATTGGTGCGATTTTTCGGGATGAACTAACGCCTGAAAGATGCGGTTTTTTGGGGCTATGTCCCGGGCTTCGAGGGGTTACTACGACTGCGGGTGGCCAAAGCTGGGTTGGTCTTGCCGCTCCTGCTCTCCTATGGTTTTTAATTACGGCAGTGCTTCTTAACAGCACATTGCTTTCGCTGCTTGCCACAACTGGATCTCCCCATATATCCGAACCCTGCTCCTGCTGCAAACGAGGCTAGAGCGCTTCAGGGGGAGCTTCTGGAGCTCTGCCAGGACATGAGCTGCGAGTTTGAAATCCCACTCAGCAAAGCAAAGCAGAACAAAAACTAGGATCCAAATTGATGAGAATATTTCCTACTCCCCCAGAAAGTGGGGCTCCCCCTCAGGCTTTTCTTGGAGATCTGTATGATAGTACAGATTCTATCTGCGACGCAGGTTTTACACTAGCCTCTATAGGTCTTTGTTTGGGACACATACTTGTTGAGTACAAACTAGCGGAGCTGTGAGGCCATGTAGCCGTCGCAAGGAGGAGCGGCACTGATGAATGACCCTTATATACCGGAATACCATAAAACCGTAGGCATATGATACATGCAGGGCTTTTCAAGTATCCACCACAGAAGTTGTTGGAAGTGCCTTCATCCTTACGGATATTAGCTGCACCCATTTGATGCGATACCGCTGTCTGAGGGTTCAATGCACTTTGCCTTTCTGTTGTGCATTGCTCAAGCCCAGCGAAAAGGGCTGTAATCGAACATAGTCGCCATGAACTTGGTTTGCACCTGCCCAGTCATCTTTATCATTTTTTGTGTCTTCAGCAACGTTGGTCTGGCAGATGGAACAGGCATCAGGCAGCAGTTAAACATAGGGGCAGGGAGTCTACGTTAAACAAGCCATGCCGCTTGTCTGGAACTTGGCTGGGAAGGAGTTGGCCAGTGTTCCCTTGGAAGTAAAAGACGTGAGGGCCTTGAAGCAGCAGTTGCAGAAGCTGTACGGCTACCCTCGTTTCAGGCAAGTGATCCTCCGAGGCAAAGAGACTTTGCGCGATGATGACACGTTGCAGCCGCAAGAAGACCTACAGCTCGTGCTGCGGGAATTTGCAGACGCCACTCTGTCGGATGCAAATTCGCTGGTGTTCGCAGTGAAGCGCGACCCTCAAATGGTTGAAGACATATTACAGCGTCCACAAGATCCAGACCTGCGTGATGCTTTCGGCAATCGGCCCCTGGCTATTGCACAACAGTGCGGTCGCACCGCCACACTTGTAAGGCTTCTGGAGGCCAAGGCGGATGTGGATGATACATGGCTTGATGGCAGTACAGCGCTTCTGCGGGCATCTCGTCTGGGCCAGCTGGAAGTTGCCTATGTACTGTTGCAATTCCGTGCGAATGTTGACATGGCAACCAACGATGGTGATACAGCCCTTTTTCATGCATCTCGCCGAGGTCATGTAGCACTTGTTCAGGCGCTTGTGGAAGCAAAGGCTACTACAAACTTGCCGGACAGCAGCGGCGACACACCTCTCATCTGCGCGGCCAGCCAAGGTCAAAGCCATGTCCAGATCGTACGTCTTCTGTTGGAGGCGCGGGCTGACAAGGGCATCCGCTCCAGGAATGGCAAAACCGCCCTCATCTGCGCAGCACAGCAAGGTGTGGGCGACGTGGATGTTTTACAGGCCCTCTTGGAGTCTGCCAACATAAATGTCCCTGACAGAAGTGGCAAGACGGCCCTCATGTATGCCTCTCGCCGCGGCCAGCTGCAAAGCGTTCGTTTGCTGTTACAAGCAAGGGCTGCCGCAGACTTGACTGATGAAGGCGGCGAAACGGCACTGATTTTAGCTGCTAGCAGAGGGCACCTGGAAGTTGTAAGTTTGCTTTTGGAAGCAAGGGCTGACAAGCAATTAGGGGATGGCAATGGCATGACGGCTTTAGAATACGCATCGAGACAGGGCTGGACTCCAATTGTGAGTTTGCTGAGCTGAGCGGGCAGATGCTTATCGTGGAGCTGCTTGCGCGAGGAGAAAGTCGTCTCCACACGGCTTAGGATCTAGCGGCTCTATGCGGCTCTAGCGTTCACCGTTGGGCATGCTGGGATCCTGCAACAAATAGCACATGAATTTCGTAGGTTTCAAGCCTGCGCACTTCCCATGGGCCGTGCAATCCTCTACCGGAAGTCCTAACTTGCAACTTCTCGGGTTCCGCAGTGCTAGTGGAGCGTATGATCACAGTTCCAAAAATATGAAGAGTCATGGTAGCTGGTACGCATCACAAAGAACAACACTGTTCTGCTTGACAAATTATTTGAAACTCAGCTTCTCTCACTGCAACACTTCTCGCAGTGATAGGTCCCCTGGAGGTGTAGCTTTGGGTTTTAAAGAAGAAGTTTCGATTCCCATGCTCATATGAAAGTCCCTCTGAAAGATGGTTTTCTTTGGGGAACCCAGAGAGGGGGTACAATGATCATGGCATGATCATATGAGCCTTCCATAGTCTAAACTCCTTAAAGGGCCCTATATAATGGACTTTATAGCGGTTATTAAGGGAGATAGTAGGAGTTTAGACTATAGCCTATAGGTCATACTAGTCCCTGCTACGCACTGGATCAACTCGCAGAAGTTTCCACACAACACCCAATATCCTCAAGGCCAGCACCTGGAATTCATCTTGTCCCCAACTCCAGGGTCCCCAGGCTCCGGCATGCTGGTTGCTTGACTGTAGGGATTTGCTCTTCTTCGCATGCGCCTAAATAGGAAAACCGCATTGGGATTCCTAGATCTTTTCTGAGAGCTCCAAATTCGCAACATAAAATTCACTTTTTGGGTACCGAAGCTCCGAACTGCAGGCTCAAGACCAGGTAAACCTGATGCCTCCAAGTAGACTTGAATCCTAGCACCTACAACCCTAAACCCTAAACCCCTGAAAGGATTTGCACCGCCGTCCCTTCATGCGGGATTTCTGCACAGTTCTCCAGAAGTTCGGCCAGGCGTTCTTTCCTGGGGCTAGTGGGGAATAAGGGAAAGCATCATATAAGGATTATCATTGGGATTATATATAGGGAATACACTCACTTTATTTCTGAGTAACCAGCCGTAAGGTCCTTTAGCTTTAGGTGTTCAGGCTCTGCATGGATTGGGCAGAAGCGTTGAGGGCTCAGGATTGAGCTCTTTGAGCTCCCTGTTTTCTGCACTGCCACTCTACATGAGCTACGGGCTAGACTTAGGTTGGGGGGGACCTACAGGGGACTATACGAGGTTTTGGGGGGTACCTATTAAGGGAATATACCAAAAATGTAGTCCAGGGCTCACATGGAGGAGAAACTGCATACTACCAGTCTGGAAGAGCTTCATGCAGGTACAGGCTGCAGGGTTTCGGGCTTCGAGCTTCAGAAAGTCGCGCAATATGTAAGTTTTTACTCAGGGTTTTTGTTGGCGGAAGAAGAGGCTCCCAATCCTTTAAATTTGAGTAGACCCCTTTCAAGAGGACAGTAGTCACGAAAGCTCTCACAAAGTGAGCCTGGGGTTCTACGGGGGGAGGTGTAGGTAATTCTGCCTGGTTTTTGGAGCTACCCTGGACCAGTGGCTGGATTTTCCCGCGTTGGCTAGGAGGGCCTTTTTGGGGTGATCTTGGGGTGTGTGGGGATGGGGCTTGGGGGGATCTTGGGGGGATCTTGAGGGGATCTTGGGGGGATCTTGGGAGATCTTGGAAGGTCTTCTTTAGGAAGGTTTCGGTAGGAGGGTTGCAGTTCTTTTCATGGGCAGTGAGGGCTGGGCTGTGTGCTCTTTTGGTTGTATACCGTCTGTCTCCTCACATCCAGTGTCACCACTCCTGTCCATTTTTGCGCTTTCGTCCCGGCCTGTGGTCTCAAGTTCCATCATATTAATCAGGGGGTCCCTAAAACCCTAAACCCTAAATAGTAGTTTCCATTTTCTTTTCCATTATCCCTATATAGCCCCTATAACCCCAATATTAATTCTCAGACTCAGCTCTGGTCTTAATGGCAAGAATTTCCACCAGTGCATGCTTCATGGTGAGGGGTTTGTTGCGAGGGAGGAGCTGTAGTGCTTCCACACAGTAAGGGCCCTGTAAAGCCAAAGTCCGGTGAGGTTCGAATAGGTGTCATAGGTAAGTCTTCGCCCCCGTCCCCCAAAAAGAAGCCTAGCAAAAAACGGGACCACGGGTAGCAGGACGTATACACGCTCAGTTTGTCTTCGGGTAGCACTTGATGCAGAGGGGCTCGGGGAATTGCTTGCTGAAGCTATGCTGCCGATGTTGGAGGCTCAGTAGGTGGTAACAGGGTGCAAGGAGGGCTCTTGTTCAAGTTCCTGCTTTTGCAGGAGACGCTTCTAAACCCTTAAAGCCACTGAAGCCCCTGAGCCCTCAACCCGCAAGAATCCCAAACCCAAACCCGCACCCCTAACACCAACCCTAAATCCATGTTGTCAGGTTTTGACCCTGCCAACAGCGCCCGAAGTGGCTCGCAAGGCGTGACTTTCTGCAGCCACAGGAACCCAGCTAAGGGATGACACGGGGACTATAAAGGGGTTAGGGTTTAGGGTATACTGCAACCAAGTTAAAAAGCACCTGGAGAATGACATGGAAAGCGGTATTACGCAGTAGTGACATATAAGGATTTCAGTGTTCAAAAAAGGGCTTTTTGGGGTTCCCTTAAAAAGGGTTATAGTATATACGGTCTATATATTGGGATCCCCCTAAAATTATGGAAGGTTCCATACTAGAGCATAATGTCGCACCTTTCTTTTGGACGCTGTATTTTTTAAGGAAGAAAAGAGAATAACCATAATCTGCCCTGTCTCAACATCAAGAAAATTACCTCATATGTTGGTCCTGTTTATAGGCTTACAGGTGTCAGATAGGGGATCGGTACAGTGTAGGGATGCACGTTTAGGCCTTTCAACAATGATGGTTTCGCATTCTGGGGATGTGCAGGAGGTAACGGCTAGCGGCTACATGCGGCTACTACAAGCTTTTCCGCTACTTCTGAGCGTGTAAAGGGCGACGTTATGATTCAGAGAGATACCTTTTCAGGACCCTCCTTGAAGGGACAACAGGGATCTCGCTTTCGTGCAGGTCCCTGAGAAAGTGGCGAGTGGCTTTCTTTGTATTTAGAGTAACTACGTAGAACTGCTCGAAGATTTCAGGCTTGAGCAACCCACGATACGGGACTGGGAAGTCGATGTGACTACCTTAAGTTGCATTAGTTATTAAGGCCGCTTGCACTAGACGTTGCAGTTCTCATTGTCTAGAAGGATCGATGTTACATATGTCATCCAATGTGCTCTGGCTATTGGGCAGTTTGAGGTCAGGGTATCCTGCTGCTGAAATTATTCCTAGGCCCACCGCTGTATGTGGGGTCTTGGCACCTCTCAGACAATCCTAGCATACTTAGACAACCCAGGGAAGATGGGAGTCGAACCTTCAGCCGCCAACCCCAAAGGCCCAGAGCAAACCCCAGTCCCTCCCATGCAAACTTGCGCTGTTAGCCCACATGAGCTATAGTCCGAACTTTTTAAGGGGGGTTGTATAGGGATTATATACGGGACAATTATAGGGGCTATTAGGGGGAATCTAGGAGTTTAGATTATGGCTCACATGGTAAAGCCTAAGCCTCCCCCAGAACCCTATTCCATTGTGAGCAATTGAGTGAACTGGAAAACGTGAACCAGAAACAGGAGTTAGACCGCTATCCCTTTGGGTTCTGTACTTAGTGCTATGGTCTTTACTAAGACCACAGGAGAAATCAACTTACTTTCTGGCAATCCGATATAGTTGCGTAGCAGGACTTCCCATTAGCCAGTTGCCCTTTCGTGCAGCAACATTTCCCATCCTTGGAACCGCAAACTTGCAGATGCTTCCTTGTCTCTGTTTTGCTTTTGCGTGTTTACCCTAAACCCTGAACCCCAAATAGTCGTTTCCATTTTTCCATTATCCCAATAAAACCCCCCTTTGTTTCCTTCCTTCCACATGAAAATAAATAGGGCAGAAAGAAGAAATCAGACAACAGGATGACGATTAAGCATTCTTAGACGCACAAAATTGGCTTTACAGGCTTTGTTCTATGAAAATCTGTGCTTCAGGATTTGTATGGCAGTTTCATTGCAGGATTTGGGCTGCATCCTACCAGTTGACCCCAAACACGCACTTGAACCGCTGTATGGGGCGTTTAGAGTGCATTTTTCGTACAGGCTAGTTCATTTCACTTACAGATTTCATAAGCTGTCGACTGTTGGCATTTATCTATCACATGGGTACATGACATTACATTGCATTCATCCTGTAAACCTACTGCTGCTGGTCAGACCTTTCAGAGGACAACATGTCAGAACTCTATAACTTTCATGCTTCCACCTTTTAAACCTTTTATCCAGAGCTAAATTGGCAGTTTCCCAAAGTAGTGGGACCCCAACATAGACCCCAAAATAGTATAATCCTTATCACGGGACCCCAAAAAAGGTACCCCTAATTTTGGGAAATCCCCATATCAATCCTTACACCAACCAGTCATCTTACTATGGCATGCCGCAACGGATCGAAGGCAGCCCGCGAGGCGATCGATTTCCTCAGGCCCTACGCAGACGTGGAGAGGACCCTGTACGTTTGCAGAGTTTAGGTTATGTGTAGGGCTCTATACAAGATGTATAATGTTTCATGGGCAGTTTGCAAGGCATACGCCTGGTGATCATGGATGAAAACTTACCATACTTCCCAGGCTGATTCCATGATTGCAGGCGACTGAACCTTGCACAAAAAAGCCTTTGCGGAGAAGGTTATGTTAAGTCACGTGGGTTCCTGGCAACGCGGTCCAGCAGACAAAGAGCAGAGGATTGTCAGATTTTGCTAGTAGTAGTACTGGTGGCAGCTGTCGTTTTTGGGATAGTTAAGATGAGGCTAGTGACAATGGCCATAGCAAGAGTCCTGCCATCTGATGCTGACATCAATAAGTGCCTTGATATCCAATCAGGGATTCCCTGCACATTAAACCCTCAACCCCAAGCTTTATATCAACCCTACACCCTGACCTTAGCAGCAGATCGGTCCCTCGTGCTTTCCTGTAGCTTCGCGTTTCGGGAGGAAAGGCGTTTCACACTGACTTTTGCTCTCGGACATCAGCATGGGTGTCTTCACCAGCATGCCAACACAGCACCAGTAGCCAGAAAAGCCAGCCGTGGAACCCTGACCCACCAATCCAAAAGCATGCGGCAGGAGTCTTGAGTTTCTCCTTTCAAACCACACGGAGGAGGCTGCGGGCAGAAAAGTGATGCTGAAGCTGCAATTCATGGAGAAGCCTGAATAGCCTCGGGTTATGTCGGGACTTCTAGATGGCGGCATATCGTTTTAGGGCAGAAGCCTGAAACATGAGTAATATCGTCCGGTCACAGTCCTCATAATATAGTGCTCTTACAGTGCGCACCGAAACCCTATGCCAATCGATCAGGCTCCTCCAGTACTTCTGTTTATTGTCTCCGCAGACCGCAACACTGGAATTGACACCCCAAATAAGTTTTAGTCTTAATGTTAGATTGGCAAAATCTATCATGGCTAGGGAAGGCGGTTCGATGGCATTGCATTGTTCGTGTCCTCTGTCTTGTACCCACAATTTTGCAGCATCATATCTGAGCCTGTGATCCCATCGCAGTAACATGTGTTACTCAGCCCCAGACAAACTCATACTAGAACCCCAAACCCTCATCCTTAGCCCGATCCCTACACCCTACACTCGAAAACCTTTAAACCCATAAGCCCAAAAGCCTTAAACACCCTGAGCCCATACTCTTACATCCTACACATCCTAAACCCAAGCATTAACCCTCTCACCGCGGAAGCCCTTGCAAAACAGCCTTAACACCAACATGCCAAGTCCCGGACGCAGGGTCTCGTGCGCCGCTTCGGTGAGGCGGTACTTCGAGGGTTAGCAGCCGCGCAGTGGCTTGGGCTGCAGGAGAATGGGGCCAGTTCCAGGGGCTAGGATTCAGTTTAAGGATTGGGGTTCCAGGATTGGGGTTTGGGCTTTAAGGATTGGGATTTAGCATTTGGGGTTTAGAATTTCATTAGGGTTTGCAGCTTCGCGCGGTGTATTGCCGAATGTGAAGGGATCTGGGAGTATCCTACACGGGGCCCAGTATAGTATGATTCATCTTGGGAAATATCCGTATGGAATCGTATGAAGATCTAAGGAGGCTTCCTGCGAGCATGTGATCTATGCACTGAGCTTGTTGCGAGAATGGCTGTTGCTAGGCCCCTCCAATTCCGAGAGCCGAATGCGAGACCTGTAAACTCCGAATTTGCAAGCGTAATCCCTGCGTATAATAATCGTAATAATAGCAATAGTAATACTACTAATAGCAATAATAGCAATGAGAGTAATGGTAGTAATAATAGTAAGAGAATGAATTTTAGTAATAATAGTAAGAATAGTAATCATATCCTCCTGAAACACGTTGGAGCTAGCGCTGTGGGGATGGGAGCCCCTAAGGTCGGAGGGAGCCATCCTCGAGGCTCCGGGATGGGGAAGTGGGTTTGGGGTTTAGGGGCCTCTGTGTTTAAGGGTTTATAGTTCCCTTGAGGTAGCCCTTAAGTAGATAGAATATGGCTTTGGGTATACTGTAAGAAGATCCCCATGTACCCCATATTCTATGTGCTCAAGGGTGACTACAGGGTTAGGTCAATGCCCCCATAGTACTGGCTCCTCAATATGGAGTTAATAGGGCCTTAATATACCTACAATAGTTTCTTGTGGTACCCATTACTGGGCGGGGGTTGACCCAAGTTTAGAGTTTATCTGGTGGTTCTTGTGTTGAAGGACTTAGCCAAATACGGTTTCTAATGCTACTGGGTTCAAGGTTCAGAGTTGGTGGTTATGTTGGAGGGGACCAGAGTTAAAGGCAGTCTCTATCACAAATGGACACGTCCCAGAATAGCGGTCTCTGTTTGTACCCATACCAAAGTGGATCTTTCTCGTTCAGGGTATGCTCAGGTAGCTGCTATTGTAGTATATTATGGGATATTAAAGTAGATTATGGTATGTTATGGTCTATGCACTAAAGCTCAGAGATACTGCCTTGTTCATCATCATGCAGACCGCTCATGTAATCCAGGCGCAACCACACAGTTCTCATAGAATCCTAATCCTATTGCAGTCCATGCCATCCCCCCAAAAAAGAAGACCATGGCTACCATAAGCTGGAATCCATGGTACTGTCTTCGGAAACAGGATAGAACCCCATTGTCAAAGGAGATGAGTCTTTACCGGGTTCTATTGCAGTTATCATATGAGTGTCGGTGAGGGTAGAGGGAAAGACGTGTGGCAGACACTGCCTGGTTGGCTCCCTATGAATGAGCCGGGCATAACATTTGTTGTTTGACAACTTTTGGGACGCTTGGGGGGTCAAGTGGGGGAGCTACAGGGATTAGATCTTAGGGGGTAACGGATTGGGCTTCAGAGTTTCCGGACAGGGTCTGGGGTTTCGGAGTAGGCCTTTCTTGCTTTGGGTTTGGTGTCCAAGAAACTGCTAAGGGTTGTTCATAAGGGTGGTGGATGGGGTGTGTGTAAGCAAGGAGACACGGGCCAGCTACGCATTCTTTAAGCCTTCTGCCCTTCAGGCCTCTATGTGGCCCTACGACTCTACCCCTCCACCCCAGTGATCTGTGAGGATGTTGGAGCAGAACTCCAACAGCCACGGTCTCAGCTCGTCTGCTGGGCAGGGAGTTGCCAAGAGGTGCTCTTGCTAGTGAAAGAGGCAGGATTGATCTGGCCAAAGCCGTGGTCACAAGCGGAATTATTCTTACTGTCATTACCATTATTGTTATTTGCCGTGTTTCCATCTGAAGGACTGTCTTGGGGTAGCTGCCACATGATTGCCTGGCTGCACGGGCAGTTGTTTTCGATTCGCTTGGCAGTGCTAGTCTTCACCACATGCCAGGCTTCGGATTTCATGTCTGACAGACCTGGAGCCCATTAGAACCACCAACTGCAGCAAGAACACAAACAACACTGACAATTGCTAGGATGATCAGTAACTTAGTAACTTACTTCGGCCCCAGGTGCTGGCAAGCTGCGGTGGACAAATTCGAGAAGAAATGCCATGAGGCATTCCGGTAGCTGGCAGGTGAGAGTTCCTCCATTTACGGAAACCACCATCGATAGCGGTTCTGAATGCTTCGGCCCCTTTCAGGGGAACGGGTGACATAAGGATAGTTGCGTTGAAGAGTCTTTGCAGATCCGCAAAATCTGGTAGGGCTGTTGCAGGAACGTCCTATCAGAATCCTGTCACAATACTGTAAGCTCACGTGTTTTTGGTGGAGGCGGTTAATTGCTGGTCGGGCGAGGTTGGCCTTTCGGGAAGCTTGCAGTCCCACCAAAGAGCCTGCCACCGGCACTCCTAACACCTAGCCCCTGTGCACATCTTATGCTGCTGCTAAATGTTAAGGGCAAGGGCCTTCAAATCTCAAGCCGTGCATGAATGTAGCCCACAGACGTCCCCCGCCAACCTCTTCAATACCTGTAGTCCCCCTTAAGTAGATAGAATATGGCTTTGGGTATATTATATAACCCATTATAGTAGTTTCCATTTTCTTTTCCATCATCCCTTTTTAACCCCCCTACTTACGGCAGACAAGAAATCCTCAACCTTAAATCTGAGGTGTACGAGCTGCACTTCTATTCAGTCTTCCTGGAGGTCAAGGCCGGTGGTGCCAGGGTCAAGAGAGCAAATGTGGGTGTCTGAACATCGTCAGGTGCTTCATGAGGTTAAGGGACATATATGGTTGGGGTTTAGATATTGGGTTTCTCTCAGACTGAGGCTCTTCAAGGGGTGATAGCAAGGTTCTACGGATCAGGGTTTAGTGTTCTCAACACAGGGGACCCCAAGAGACCTAGGGACCTACAGCAAATATTAGGAGATATTAGGAGACTGTAGTGGTCCGCCTCAAAGATTATTTGTGGGGACTGTTGTGATAAACTCACATATAGCCTGTATTCAGCCAATCAGCGCACAATGGGCCTTCACCAGAAGGGGGGCGAGGATGCTCCGGGGCTTCGAAGACAGGCCGCACCCATATAATATATTCCTCATGATAGGGCACTCTGAAAAGGAGCTCTGCATTTTTTCAAGCTCTCTTTGAACATCAAACTTCTTTCCCGGGCCCGACTGCTGAGAGTCCTTTTTGGTTGCCACCGTACTGATAGCCCCCTTGCAAAAGGTTGGTAGGCTCTATAGGGCCTCTTGGGTTCCATGTTAATTTGAAAGTGGACATGCGTGCGTTCACAGGAGCATATGGCTTTACGTAGTGGCTAGAACCGACGTGGGAGCTGCCACGAATCATGAAAGCGTTAGGCATGTATTGGTGATCATGCTGTCTGTCGCTTTATGTGGAGGTTGCTGGATGAAGAGACCTGAAACCTGGAGCTTCGCACCTAGATCCCGTGAAATTCCGACATAGCCCTCGACACACCCGTACCTAATCCTTGTCAACTCCCACATACTCGACACTACCGCTTTTTTCCTCACTATTTTCTTCCCCAGAGGCCCTGCGTGGAGACTAAGTTCAGGAAACCCCTAACCTCGGATTGTCTTACCATATCATATCTCACAGTACTCCCGGAAAGGAACCTGTGTTTTTTTTTGCTGTTTGGTCTTTTTTGTTGTTGGGTCGCTTGAAGACCAGCCAGGCAGACCGGTAAGTGA